GCAGCAACTAACATTACAAGTGGGATCCCTCCCTTAAATCATTTGACTTGGCCTGAGACACACTGCAGAAAGATTGGTGGGAAAACTGGCTTCATCTGAATAAATCAGTCAAATGAAATTGCCTCAGAATTCGGGGTTCATATTCATGTTCCTTTTTCAGTTTCACCATCTCCGGAGAACACAATGTAAGGAATCACTGGAGAGTTGGTGAATTGGTAGAATGACACCTTTTGTTCATTTTTTAATAATAAACAGAAAGAATTATTTGTCTAAAGATTTCAGGATTATTTGGATTTTAAACAAAACAAATAGTCAGCACAATAAATTAAAATGTCTGCTTAGAGTTTCAGGAATTGAGATGAAATCAACCATAGATCACAAGTCATTGAACTTGGTAAGAAACACCAACCTAACCTAAGATGGTGGCTTCTGTTTACTAGTACAAAGAGATGATGGGATAGAAAAATTCAAAGAAAATATAAAATATTTTTAGGACTGTGACTTAATGTGTATTCCCCTCTACACATAGGGTGCATGCACTCACTGGAGAGAGACAGAGAGAGACAGAGAGAGGGAAGGTGAGAAATCTTCCTGCCCCAGAGGATGGCCACACCACAGTGTCTTCTCCTCTTGTCTCTCCTTGGAGTTTGGGCATGCATGCACACATGCTTGGTGTGATTTTCAAGCCAATGGGTCCAAGATTTGAACTGTGGTCAACCCTGTGGGAGTCCAGTGCCTTAGTTGGCACACCACCTACTGCCCCCAAGAATGCATATTTGAAGATCCTTGGAAGCAGGGAAATGTATCCAGGACAGCCTTGGAGTGAGAAATTATAAAGCCGAGGAGGAATTTCTGATCAAGGCATCCATCACAATGAATTCACATTTCAATAACAATCTTTGCTCCAAACATAGCAATGAAAAAGCATAAAACCAGAGTGTGATCAGGATTTAAGACAAGATAAGCAACTTCACAGAGCAGAAACCAGAACATAAATGCAAATATTTGGGAGAAGTTGATCCATAAGGCATTTAAGGCTCCTGAGAACTGAGAGTTATTTCTTTTGGTGAAAAGGGACCTTAAAGTGTTTATATAAAATGGGAGACTAGAGCCAAGCTCACAGCTTGAAATCAGAAGCTGAGTTGTTCTCCACTGCTCTACCTAGAATAAAAAAGCTGCATCAAAATGAAAGCTGCAGGTTTGTTTTATAAACATTATCAAAAAGTTGAATATAGGGTTGACCCTGTAGCACAGTGGTTAAGGGAGCTGGATCCCACATGGCCAGCTGCAGTTTGAATTTTGGCCCTGGTGGCTTGAAACACATGCCAGGTATGAATGTGTGTGTGCCCCAAGTCCTGAAGGGATGGAGAAATGGAGGAAAGGGAATTGTGGTAATGCCACACTCCATTGGGGGTGTTTTTCTTTCTCTTTCTGTCTCTGGTGAACTGGACAGCACATGTGGCCTCTGGAAGTCATAAAACGTTAACTATGAAGACAGTCTTTACAACAGTAAATTTGAAAATTTACATAAATAGAAAATTTCCTAGAAAAATATAAATTAATGCAAAGAAGTAAGATAGCCAAATCAACTAAAAATCATGAAATAAATGGTCAAGAAAATCTGTTCTTCTTCTTAAAAGCCCAGATGGCCAAAAATGGCTAGAAAGATTTGTTTTACCAACTTTTTGAGTAAGAAACAGCAATTACGTTATATAAAATGTTTCAGAAACTGGAAAAGAAGGAACGATAGTCAACTTATTTTACAAGACTAATACAATGCTGATGGCAAAGTTGGAAAAAAGTTTTAAGAAAATCATAGATCAATTTTGTGTACTACAAAAAATCATAGTAAATTAAAATCAGCAATGTATTTATGTAAGTATCTCATGACCAAGTAAGATTTATGCCAGGAATACAAGCATTGCTCATCATAAACTCTATTAGTAAAATAATATATCTTATCAACTGATTAAAAAGAAAATCTATACAATTTTCTTTTCTTTTTTTTTTGGGGGGGGGGAGAGGTTTTCGCTATAGGGCATGTGTGCTCACCAGACATAGAGAGACAGAGAGACAGAAAGCGAGAAACCACCCGCCAGAGGGGATGGCCACACCGCAATCCCTTCTCCTCCATTCTCCTGTTGGGATCTTGTGCACGCATCCACACGTGCCTGGCATGACTTTTAAGCCACGGGGTCCGGGACGTGAACCGTGGTCGACTACGTGGTAGTCCAGCGACATAGCCATTATGCTAACTGCTGGTCCCTATACAATTTTCTTAATAAATAGAGAAAAATTAATACATTTAATACTCAGTCCTGAGAAAAACTCTTAGCACCCAAGGAATAAAAGGGATGTCCATCATTTAAATAAACAGCATTATACTAGATATCCTTCATTTATATCTCCAGATACACCTGCCATGTTTTTCTACCCTGTTCTTTCCCTTAAGGACTAAGCACTTTCTCTTGCCTCTGGCTTCCCAGTAGTTCAGCCACTGAGAAGCCCTAACAGGAAATCTGAGGGAAGAAGGGCAATGAAGTTAAGATTATTTATCCCTCTGGCTCCATCTCTGAAAGGTCTTATTGGAGTAGCTGTGTCCCTCAATGGGAGGTCACTTCTCTTTCCAAAGCAGCTTCCTCTACCTCATGTTCTCCTTCTAGGTTCCAGAAATCTCTCCTTTTCCTACTCCTTTGACTGCGAGTTACCTGTTCCTCAGGTGCCACTAGTAGATCTTACAATGTCTTTTGCAATTCTACCTTTGTATGCAAAACAAAATACCCCCTTGAATGATTGTAATTTGAGTGTGCTATGTATTTCCTTTTGGGACTTTGACACTAGCAGCATCTACCAAAATCCTATTGTATACATTGTACTTAATTTTGGAACTATTCCACTAATGTCACAGATAAGACAAGGCAGATTTATACTCATCTTTTTCTTTTCTCCAACTCATTTATCTATTCAACATTTAACATATACTAATTGATCACCTATGATCTTCCAGGCACTGTTTTACTCAGATATGTTATTGAAGACAAAAAAAAAATAAAACAAACAAACAAAAACCCAAAAACCAAAATCAAACAAACAAAAAACTCTGCTTCTGTAAATATTATATTCTGGTAACAGAGGGAGGGGTGGTGAAGAATACATAAGGAACATAATAAATGAATCTAATGTCTGGTATATTAGATGGAAATCAGTGTTCTGGAGAAAAGAAGAGGTTTTGAAGAGCCAGAGGAGCCAAGAGTTCTGAGACAAAAGTTGCCATTGTTAGTAGGTTGGTCTGGGTTGGTCTTAAAGATATGGTGGGATTTTAATATGTCTTTGGAGATGAGGACGTTATCAGCAGAGATCACCTAAGGACACATTATGTGTGTGGGGGAATATCTTCAACTTAAGCTGGACCTGAGATGGTTGGATGAGAAGGTGGTCAGGCCAGAGGGGACAGTGCTGACCAACTCTTGACTATGAGAGAAGGCACATTTGATTCAGAGGTCCCTGGTAGACAATCTCAGATCATAGCAGCTCCAAGTTGGAGAACCTTAGTTCCTGACCTACTCTTCACTTGAGGAGTAGATGTTCAGGAAGTGGAGAGTGCCAAATGCACAACTCGAATTATTTAGATGCAATTAGATTTGGTTTAATAATTAAAAATACTTTAAGAATTTTTCTTTGGCAAAGCTTAGGCTATTAATTAGCATGTCATGGGAACCCAGCATTTATTATTCTCTCAAAAACCCATTTGTGGTGGAAAATGTGCTGAGCCTCATTTGTGACAATAATTATAGTTGATATCTTTGAGAGTGTCTGCCAAGTTCCCAGTGATTTCCCTCTTTTCTGGGAGCTGATTCCAGGATCCACAGGGGTGACCTTCTCCACATTTCCACTGCATGAACATATCCCATAGTCATAGCTCATTGGATCAGAGCTGGAATCATGAGCAATGATGAGCCAATAAAATATTTTTTCCCCAGGAACTTGGAATTGAAGCCAAGAAGATAAGGTAAATCTGTCCATTTGACTGAAATTATAAGATGCAAACTCAGGGTGGTCGTATTATGTCAAGTGGTCCTGAGAAACAGAGAAAGGCAATCTGGAGAGAGAGAGAGAGAGGGAGAGAGAGAAAGAGGTGTGGGGGAAAGAGAGAGAGAGAGAAACTTTTGGAGAAGATAGACCAATAAAAACTAACCGAAACAGAAATAATCTCCAACAAGCCTGCCCCAGTACCCGCGGGAATTGGTTGGGCATCTGAGTGCAATGTGTAGCAGGTGGGATTTGGCTCCAGTTCCTCCTTTCAAATGTCAGTGATAGACCCTGCTCACAAGAGGGCCCAAACTGTTCTTTTATCTGTTATTCATTCTTAAGGACTTGCTCCAATCTCTTTCTCTTTCTGGAGAAAGAGTTCTTAGACTTTATAGCTCCCTAGAGGGGATCCATTAAATATTTGTTAAGGTGACTACATTTAGAGTTCTTGTTTTGCTGCCTGGGAACCCAATGTCCCCCATTTCGAAAGCTAGTTAACATCTCGAGTGATAAAAGATTAGGAATGGAAAGGTTATAGAGATCATTGATGCTGATGATTGAGTATAAACTTTGCAGCTCTGGTTAATGTCTAATCTCTGCATGTCTTTGGCTTTGTCTTTGGCTGTGTCTTTAACTCTCCAAACCACATGTATAAAATAAATACTTCCTTTTACATAGGTGGCTAAGAGATTACAGAAATGATAGAGATCAAGTTGCCCAGGATACTATTTGACTTGTAATTGTAGCAGTTGTTATTGTTATTATTTATTATGGTTGTGGTTCCTAAAAGTGAAATCCACACTAAAAGAAATCTTAAAGTAGTATGGGCTTTGCAATTGACAACATTCTAACAACATTCTCATTAACAGCTTGGTCATTATCAATATCCCTCTTTTATGATTATAGTTAAAAAGGGATGTTACCATTAAATCCAAGACATTCCTTTATGAAGTCTTTTAAATTCATCTTACTTGAAGTCTTCGGGGTGGATGCCTTTTAATAATACTTGTTTCTCTTGGTTCCAGTGGGATGTCAAAATACATGGCCCCAGATGCTTAAAGGATTGGGGAAGAAACAAGAATAAATCATTAAAAACAATTTACTACTAAATTAGGCAATGAGGCTGGTCATTAGATTTTAGACTTTGTTAACACAATTTTGTACCTTTTCGACTATATATGTCTAGCCTATAGGCTAAGTGTGAAGATGAAACATAAAGCCCTACATAAATGCAAATGATAACCTTTTAGCCTAGATCCAGGATTTAATCTCTGTTTCCCTCATTTGCTCCCCACATTGATATTTAGAGGAAGATTTGCAAAACTAACAATGTATTGACCATAAATGTTTTTCAAATATAGAATTAGGTCTAGAAAAAGAAACTTATTAATTTGTCTTACTTCCATGAAATCTCCAAAAATATAGGCAATCTGAAAACAATGTAGCTGTAAGAAATGAAAACAAAGGATCTTTTCTGATGAAATAGATGATATATAAATGGATTGGTGATTAGTTAGAGAAATGGAGCATGAGTATATGCTGGGAGTATGCAATGCTTAGTATTATGTGATGACAAATAGTCACCCCAACTAGGGAAAAAAATTCCCACAAGTTACCACTATAAAACAGCATATTAATATTTTTCTCTGATGAAACCAGCCAGGGTTACAGAATTAGCTTTTGTTAGGAAGCAGAGAGACTCAACCCATCTACCATGGATTTTGTCTTGGTGATCCTGGGCTCTTGGGGCTACTCTCATAACCAATGCTGCACAAATGCAATTCTTGTCCTTCCCTAACAATCTGTATGCATTCTGATTTCTAGATTGTTGTATAGATAAAAATCCATGTTGTTACAGTCCTACTTTGCATTTTAAATGAAAAATACCAGGTAATTATGTGTCTCTATTCTTAAGGTATTTGATTTATTTTATTTGAAAGACTTCTCTCTAACTGTTAGTGGAATGGAAACTGTGTTCTTTTTTTCCTTTTCTTAAAAAATGCCAGCACATTTAGCAGGACAGAAACAACAACAATAAAGTATATTTGGTGGAACTGGGGTTAGAATATGGGACCATGAAAAATTGTGATCAGAATGCTCACCATCTTTTTGTCATCTATTTTTCATGTGATTTTGCCATTTCATTTTTTATTTGAGACTTGAAAGCACTAGAATCAGTTTTCACCATTTAGTTTCCAAAATTTTAAAACTCTGAATAGAGGTTTTTGGATTTTTAAAAAAGGAAATTTTCATTGACATTAAGGAGAAAATTCCCACTCATGTGCTTATGAAGTTGTAGAACATGAAGAGTATAAAAATAGGCCATATAGAACCAGTCAAAGGTTGGCAATTCTACAGAAAATAGCCATGTGAAAGTCACTGTAAGCAAGATCTACTAAATAACAAAAGGATTATAAGGCTTTCCGACCAAGTTGTCAAATAAGAGGAGTTTATTTCTGTTAACTGATTCAGAATGTAAAGAAAAGGGAAACACACACACACACACACACACACACACACATTATAAGCATATATTTTTATTCATAACTAGAATGTCTGTTTAATTATCATTGTGGTGGGACCAGCAGTTAGCATAATGGCTATGTTGCTGGACTCCCATGTAGTCGACTGCAGTTCGAATCCCCAACCTGGTGGCTTAAACTCATTCCAGGCATGTGTGTGTACGTGCCCAAGATCCCGAGACAAGAATGGAGGAGAAGGGACTGCGGCATGGCCATCCTCCCTGGGGAGTTATTTCTCACTTTCTGTCTCTCTGTCTCTCTCTGACTTTCTGGCGAGTGCACGCACCCTATAGCAAAAACCTCTCCAAAAATAGAAAAAAAAATATCATGGTCATCATAGCACTTTGTATATGTGTTGTAAAATATCCCAGGGTAATTTGTAGCTACTTCAGGCTCAGAGCTTCTAATTATTACGCCAAAAAACATTCTCTTATTTCTGCAGCTGACCATGAAGAGGATGGGGCTGGGGAAAAGGGTGACCCATCCATTCATCTATACTGCAGTAAATAAATTAGGTTTGGGGTTGTTTCAAAATTCATGTTACAGTGGAATTACTCCAAAGTGCTGCTTTCAAAACCACAAAGCCTGATACATTAAACTGTACTGGAGAAAATGATTCAAATTTAGAATCTGACTGAAATATACAATTGCTATGGTTTATCACATCAGTATCTATATAATTGTAATGATCTGGCAAAGCTAGGTATAAACATTGAAGGCACTACAAACAAAGCAGAAACAAAGTAAATTTTCCTTCCCTGGAATGGTGAAGTCTGCTATACATAGTTTATGTACTCTTTCTAACGTGCCCAGAATACTTTCAATTGACAAACATTCAATCCCCAGGGACCAGTGGTGGCATAGTGCTTAAGGATGGCTGGATCCCACATAACTAGCTGCTTCGTTCAAGTGTGGGACCCAGTGACCTGAAAGACATGTTGGGCGTTTGTGCATATGCGCCCTAAATCCCGAAATGAGAATGGAGAAGGGATTATGGCCTGGCCCTCGCCCTGAGACTCACTTTCTCTCTCTCTATGTCTCTGTCTCTCTGGAGAGTACATGTACCCTTTAGCAAATTAAAAAGAAAAAGAAAAACATTCAACCCGGTTGAAAGCTATTCTCCTATATTTCAGTAATTTAGAAACTTTCTGAGATAATGGAGACGGTCAGGAAGTTATACACTAGGTCTCCTTGGTTCAGATACACAAACCCTCATGCTGTGTTTTACGTTTACCTGCAGAGTATCTTCCATACCAGGTTTCTCTTAGAGGTGGCAGCTGGCCTTCCAAAGTTTTATTCCGGTCTTGTAGTCTTCCAAACGAATATGAATTCTTTTCTTCCAGATTCTGATTGAACACAAAGTCCACAGGACCAGCTGAGGGAGTCCCTTCCTCTTTGTTTTGCAAAGGTGCTACTTTGGTGACCCTAGGGTGAGCCTTAGAGTGGCTCAGGCCCATTTCATATGGAAGACAGTCAAAGGAAAACCATGAGGGAAGTGGCTTGGAGTCCTTAATGCAGCTTCTTTTAATCAGGATATTTCAAAAGTTTATCCCAGCTTAACAAAGCAGTAATTTTCTTCATGATATCTTTATACCTCTGTTTCACCACACAGCAACAACTCGGGCAACTTCCTGGGAGGCTAGTTTCTATGGAAACTTCCCTTCAACCCCTACTTTGCCATTTCAGACCCAAAGAATCCAGTTAAACATTGACTTAGTTATGCTACTTTTTGAAAAACTCAGTGGTAGGAATAGGAACGCCATTGATCATTAACAAATAGCTAACACCAAGAATGATATTAACAGAGATGGAAAGCAGAGGTTTAGAGAAGTCTTAAACTTGATTGACCCTTTCATTGCAGGTACTTTTTGTACCTTACCTGACAGTATCTAAGTCACCTGGAAATAAGGAGATGCATGCTAACCACCAAAGGCTTTGTTCATCTTTTACTTTAATCAAAGACTTATCTTTCAATTAAGAAAGGAAACAACAGAGTGACTAAAATTTCCTTTGGTTTTTCTGTCAAGGACTTGAGCTGCCTTTGAATACATTGCAGGAGGGTAGGAAAACAATGGGGATTTTCCTCTGGAGACAAGGGAACAAACTTGTTGAATGAATGTTCCAAATAAAATCACATTTTAAAAGATAGATAGTTTATTGTATTTTTAAAAAGTAGAAAAAAGACTGGAAGGAAATAATGTTGAAATGTTGAACAGTCACATTTTAATAATGTAATTATGAATGATTTTTATTTTGTTCCTTATAGTTAGAAGGAAGATTAATTTAATTTAATTAATTTTTTTTACACTTTATTGATTCACAAAAGATCTTGATTAATCTAAATACTTTCAATAACAAGTGCAGCTGATATACAAATCTGTGAACACATGACTGACTTTAGGCATAAAGTAGAATGAACATAATATGAAGTAGCACCTAGCTGTGGCTATATAGCTTACTGCAGTCATGTAATAGATATTTTGTTATTTTTAAATGTATTTTTAATTTCAAGAAAAGCAGTTTTAGCTTTAATAAATCAAAATAAAAAATGTTAGAAAAAACTTGCTTAAGACTTAAAGCCAGGGAAAAGGTTAGGATTCTGTTCAAACAGTAGGTAGATACTAAAAACTCAATAAACAGATATGGACAAAACTAAAATCTAGTAATAAATGCACTGTAATTTTCTTCTAAAGCATTTTTTTCTCTCTCCATTCCCATTTTTACCAAAGGGAGGCATAACTAACCTATTTGCAAAAATAAATAAGTATAGTCTCAATTTGTTCTGTTATCTATACAAACTCCCATAAGAATACTAACTTATTTAACCAGTATATCCCATTTCTGAGGCAAGGCAATAGATATTATTGAAATTTGCAAATAACCATTCTGTCACAAAATAAGAATACTCCCAAATATTTTCCAATTCTAGAGGAGTCCGGAAGGGAGAAAAGTTTATGTTTTAATGTCCAAAAAAAAAAAAAAAAAGAATAAACTGCTGAATCTGTCAATAGCTCAAAAGAAGAAAAATACCCTTAAATTTGGAAAACAAAGCATAGAAGAAAACCAGTAATGACTTAGTCAAAAGACATAAAATTCTGTTTCACTAGTTTAGTCTCATGTAATTAATCTCTCTTCTGTTGAATTTGCAGTATTACTCTGGTCCGATCTTTCTGTTTAAATTCTAGAGGTTAACATTCAATGTTATTATTTTTCATTCTGTCTGGACTTGTTCCTATCATTAAGTTGGCCGTTTTTTTGGTTGTTTTTTTGTACTCTTATTTCTGTGAGTCTGTCTTTAGTTTACCTAATATAGGACTCCTTTCAGAACTTCTTGGAGAGCTGGTCTGGTGTTGGTAAATTCTTTCAGGTTTTGTTTATCTGAGAAGGTTTTTGTCTTTTCTTCCCAAATGAAGGGAAGAATCTTGCTGGGTATAGTATTCTTGGTTGAAATTGTTTTTCACTGAATATATTTTCCCATTCTTTCCTGGCTTACATAGTTTCCGATGAGAAGTCTGATGTTAACCTGATGGCATTTAATGGTGTCTAGTATTTCTCATATATTATTCTCATTTTTTAAATTATTTTCTTAATCATTTTGGTGAATTTTTCTGGGTCAAAGATTTTGTCTTCTACATCTGAGATTTGATCTTCTGTATGATCTAATCTGCTTCTAATACTTTCAAGGGAGGTTTTGATTTTCTGTTTTACAGCCTTCATCTCTAACAGTTCTGTTTGATTCTTTTTTATGGTATGTATCTCCTCTTTCAAATAGTGGAAGAACTTCCTCACCTCCTGAAATTCGTTGTCTTTTCTTGCATCTTCTGGAGTTCATTTTCTCTCTTCTCTTACATCTCTGTTAGTTTTTGTCACTGTGACTATTCTGAATTCATTATCCGAAATTTTCATGAGTTCCATTGTACCACCTGTGGATGATGAGGAGTTATTATTTTCCCTTGGGAGAAAGAGCTTTTCTTGGTTTCTCATATTTCTTGTGCCTCTGTGGTGACTTCTGGTCATCTCGTGGATTATTTGTTTCTTCCTGATTTCTTGGAGTTAAATCTGAGCACTGAGAGGCATGCAGGAGGAGATAATCTGCAATCCCTCTGCAGTTCCATACCCCTGATGCTCACCAAGCAGCCTGCACTTCTGACTTTGGAACTAGATATTCCAAAGGCCTGGTTTCTAGAAAGCAGGTGCACCTGGGCTGAGGTGCAGGGTTTCAATTGAGAGTTCAGAGGCATACAGGAAGAGTTGAGCCCCTCTCTCTCTGCAGCTCTGTACTTCTCCCTGCTGTTCGCTCTGTAGTTTCTCTTCTCTGAATTTTAGTCATTTGGTGATGCATTCACTTTTGGCTAATTCGTTGGAGAAGGTTTCTGCAATTTTTAAAAACTTTATTTATTTATTTATTTACTTTAATTTGATCAGAGAGGGACACAGTGAGAGAGAGAGAGGGAAGGTGAGAAAGCAAGCCTCCAGATCTGGGACTCAAACACAGTCAGCCATGTGGGAGTCTAGTGCACTTAACCACCACACCACCTGCCAGCCTCGGTTTCTGCAATTGTGAGCTTGTGTGCTTCCATTTACTGTGAGGTAATTTTGTGCCAATTTCTCTCCTTTACTGGGTTTTGCAACATGGTATCCACAGAAAAAGGTTTGAGTTCAGATTTATGAAGAGGAATTTCTCCCTTTGTGCAGCAGTTTCAGTGGGAATTGAGGATTTTTCTGATGCTAAAAGTATTCAGATGTTTAACTACCGAACACCTAGATCTGTCTAGATATTGGTGTCTGGGGAGTGAAGTTGAAGCAGAAAATATTCAGTTTCCCTAGTCCCTAAAAGGGCAGCTCACAGCTCAGATATAGGTGACTTCTGAGATGGCCTGAAATTCAGGAAGACTCATTTTAAAGTTCTAGTTGTTTATGATTACAGTTTACTTTCGATCCAATAAGTTCAAAGAAATTTATTTCTCATTTTTGCAAAATCCACTTACTTAGGGGCTTACCTGGTGTTTGAAAAGTCTTGATAGCTGATAGAATTAATGTAAAAAGATATCTAAGTTTAGTTTTTTTCCTATTATTCCTTTTGCATTTTACATACAATTTTCTCTCAGCAGAGGGACTTATAAGAAAAATTATCTATTAACCGTGCCTTGAAAACAATATTACCTCAGGTAACTGCAGATTAGTTTAATTATAAAGATAAAAATACTTGTGTGATATCTAGTCATATTTATTTTGAATATAATCAGTTAAAATATTTCTAAGGGCAAGAGAATATATTCCACATAAATAAGTAGAAATTATAACTAAAAACTGTAGACTTCATGGATCTGGATCAGTAAGAAGTGTTTAGTATTTATTTATTTATTTATTTTTGCTTTATTATTATTTAATTTTGAGAAACCGTATTTGAAAAATATGACCCTTTGTTGAGGAAATTGGTTAGTTACTGAGGAAATGATTAAGGAAGTAAAAATGAATTAGTTTGTTTCGTTTTAAAATTACTAGCTACTATCAAGTTTTGTACCTTGTGAAGACTACTCAATTTCCTGATTTGAAAAGTGGGGTTAATCATAATACTTTATAAGGAGTGAATTGATTGATTTCATTTATGGCTTTTAGAATAATAACTGGCATGTGGTAAGCTCACAGTAAACATTATCCAGAATTCCTCACCTCTTAAGGAAGTCTTGCTACGTGTCTACATGTACATAGGCTAGCCCTTAGTGCCCATGGTTATGATCCATTAAAACAGACGTATTCCTATCTAGAGGAGTTTATAATTGAGTCTATTTATCTGAGAAAACAATAGTGCTTAAGTATTATCATTTTAAAATCTTTACATATCCAAAGATTTTTATTAAAACAAGGTCAAAACATTTCTATTTGATTGAAAGAGAAAAAAGAATTAATTTCACCCGTAGGGTTAGATGTAGATACCACAAGAGTTAGAAAGCACTATGTTTTTTTTTTTTTTTTTTTTTGAGAGGTTTTCGCTATAGGGCGCGTGCGCTCGCCAGACAGACAGAGAGAGACATAGAGACAGAAAGCGAGAAATCACCCCCCAGGGGGGATGGTCACGCCGCAATCCCTTCTCCTCCATTCTCCTCTCGGGATCTTGGGCACGCACGCACACGCGCCTGGCGTGAGATTTAAGCCACCGGGTCTGAGACGCGAACCGCGGTCGGCTACGTGGGAGTCCAGCGACATAGCCATTACACTAACTGCTGGTTCCCGAAAGCACTATGTTTTTATCCACCCAAAACTTGACCATTCCAGTAATTATTCATGTTGCTTTATAAAGATTACTCCCCAGTTCAAGAACGAGTATGAGGTGCAGGTGTAGCAATGTGGGAGACACGTGGTAGGGCACTGCTGTGTCATACTGCGGCCACGTAGGAAGGTCCAGATTTAGACCCTGAGTCAGCCTGAATACGCCCAGTGCTTCCATAATCCTGGCTAGCTGGAAGGCCGAGGGGAGGACTGTGGCATAAGACACTATGAGGTATCTCTTTCTCTGACTCTTTCAAATAAACTTAAGGGGAAAAACAAATGACTATAACATAGTGTGTAAAGATGATAAAATGTGATGCCACTGGTAATAGTCAGAATTTGTGAATATGAAATGAGAATAT